TATGGAATTCATTACCAGAAGATATTAAAGTAACCTGGTCTGTAAATCAATTTAAGACTTTTCTCAAAAGCCACTTAATCACCCTAGACTAAATGCTAAATACTCAGTACACACATACTCACTTATGTACTCCACATCATAACTTCAACAATCACTTTGAACCTTTTATCCATTGTTGACAGGAATATAATTGAATCATTGTTTTCACAAAAAGCATTTTAGACTATATGAATATATCTTTTGTCTTATACAAATTTGATTCACTTATAATTAATAATCTACTGTACAACTATGAAATAATTACTATCCTACTATACAACTATGATATAATCCTTAGTATTAAGTAGTCTGTAAGCCAATAATGTTAAGTTGGCCCATAGTGCCTAGGCATAATAGAGGCTCTTTGCATTGCAACCCACTATTGTATATACACAATCTCAATGTACTGTTTGCAAAGACATTAAATAAATACATAAATAAATGCGGAGGCTTGTTGCATAAGATGACTGAATGATGGCAAATTAAACATAATATGTAGTAGTATATTTGCGTTTAACCTTAAACCCGTATGGGTCACTCAGCGCAAGGAGTGGTGGAGGCTCGATCCTCCGTCCGATAACAGTGAAAGAAGCAAACTAAACAGCAGTACGTACATAGTTGACATTTGAATGAAACAGCAAGGAACTATAACCTAAAATAAAGAGGGACCCGTGAAAATATAACGTGAAAATAATACACGGCCGTGTATTACAACGTTAAGGCAAGTTACTGAGAACAACAATGAGATTTAATTTTCAACGGGTCACTATTGATTCAACATCAGGAGCGTAGTCACAGTTGGACACATAAATCAAATAGTTTGCTTTTGAATGATATCGAAAATTTTAGTCAAGGGGAAACTTGCCCAAGTGTGAGAACAATACTGAACACATAGAAGAAAGTGACTTTCGTTGACTTGTACTATAACCCAAAATAAGTCAAAAATATTTCCATAATCGGAGGAAAAGTCCAAACGTTTCGGAGAAAATCTTGGATACAGAAATGTGAAGCTTCCAGGGAAAGTTAAAAGTGAATGTTCGATAAAAGATTGATGCAAATTATCAGTACTTTCAAAATAAATATTTATAATCAGCAAGATCCTCTATTAATATAATGCAGAAGTTGAGTTTCATTAGAATAATCCTATTAACTCTCGTTTCCATTAGGAAAAATAAAAATGAAATTCATGAATAGTCTTCAGTACTTGGTGTATCAAAACATCTTGTAAAAGATGGAAAAATGTGTAGACAAAATGGAATACATGCTATTATTTCTGCTATAATGGTCATGGTGAAGTCTCAAGGCCTTAGATATATACTATAATATCTGGGAGAATGAATATTTATCCCTCCAATATTAAAAATAAACCTAGAACTTCTATTTTTAGTTATTCACTTTAGCCGTCTAGAATATATTCATCTGTTAAACCTACAAGAAATATTAAAAATTGATCATAATGTATTTTTTTAAAATGCTATGGTTGTACTGTGTGTCCTCTCATAATAACATAACTTGAGTAAGTTTTATCATGAGCAATCCGTTCATTTTTGCGTTATAAATTGGAGAATAAACCTCCCTGAAAAATGGAAAAAATATTCCGAACACTGAAGAATATTTTGCATATCACAACTCCGCAGGAAATTACCAGCTAAGAATTACCCACTGACTTGGCTGGCAAAGCTCTCGCTTCACAAGCTGAGGGTCCAGGTTCGATTCCCGGCTGGGTGAAAACATTCAACACGTTTTCCTTACACCTGTTGCCTGTGTGGAAAACTGGTTACATAAGTACACTTTCCTGCATGCTAACGAACATAAGACAAACGTTACTTATCTTTTAACAGTACGATTTCCAACAGCCTCTCCCTGGAAATCCCTTCGGGGTGGCGTCTCAGTGTCCACAGGAGCTGTTGATTAACAAGTGAGTTAGAAAAACAATTTGCCCCAAAGGAGCGTATATCCAGCATTTCACTGCCTGAAGTGCGTAGTGGTACTCACTTATAATTGGGTGAATCACCAGCGCATCACGGGATCTATTGGTAACTCCAGTCAAATCTCACCTCCCTATTAGCTACAGCTAACAAAAGATGTGGGTATGGCTGGACTTACCTGGGTATTATAACTGGCCCAATTTCTCCTAGTTTGTTGTTGGGGAATTATATCCCGGTATCGATGTCTTGAATAAGCTGCTACAGATGCAAAGTTATGTCCTCCCTCGTTGATAGGGAGCCGCTTTGTTCATAACACCTGAATGCATACTGTGACACAAACTTTTACACTTTATTGGGATTATTTCGCAGATTATACACATTTTATTTTAACACTAGTTTTCCTAGTGGAGATTAACAGTGTTTCAGCGTTTATTGCACAAAGTCACTATTTTCTTTGTTCTCAGCGGGAGATTTGTGACGTGTTCACGCTCTGATATCAAAATTCAACCTAGCTTGTCGCCCTGCCCGACGCCCACCATTTCATCGTCCGCACAAAAGAACTGCTGAGTTCAGCTGTATATTTCTTCCGTACTACACATTGTAACAAGGAATAACAGAAGAAGGTTGTTTCCTTGTTGTTTAGCTGTAACGAAGTCATAATGTCCCCGACTTGTAGACAAGTGGGCCGCAGGTTGTATCTTAATTTTCCTGCTAAGGGGAAAAGAGTAATTACTCTCGTTAAACCTCGTTGCGTAGTTGGTCAGGAACTCTAGTAAGGAGAGGAAGGCGTGCCTCGCGACGCTATGGTACATATGTTCCGCATAAAACTGTTTGCGAAGAAGGAAGAGTCCACTAGCCCCTTCCAAGAGGGCTAAGTTCCTCAGAGGGCTGAGGGGGTCTCAGAGGACTGAAAGATATCCCCTTTACTGGAGAATTTTCTCCATATCCTGTTCACCTAGCAAGTAGGTACTGAGGTGTTAGTTGATTGGTGTGGGTCGCATCCTGCAGGGCAAGATTGAGGATCCCAATGGAAGTAAGACAGACAGTCCTCGACGTCACACTGACTTTCTTGGGTTATCCTGGGTGGCTAACCCTCCGGAGTTAAAAATCCGAACAAAATCTTATCTTGACTTATATTATTACTGGAGATATTCATTTTTATACACAAGCTCATGGTGATGGTAGCGACGATGATGGTGATAATGGTGATGGTGACGATAGTGACTGTGATGATGGTGTTAGAATTGGGGGTGGTGGTGGGAAAGGATAGTGGTAGTGGGTGGTAGCGATGATGGTGGTGAGGGGGTTGTGATGATGGTGGTGAGGGGGTTGTGATGATGGTGGTGAGGGGGTTGTGATGATGGTGGTGAGGGGGTTGTGATGATGGTGGTGAGGGGGTTGTGATGATGGTGGTGAGGGGGTTGTGATGATGGTGGTGAGGGGGTTGTGATGATGGTGGTGAGGGGGTTGTGATGATGGTGGTGAGGGGGTTGTGATGATGGTGGTGAGGGGGTTGTGATGATGGTGGTGGTGGTAGACTCATATAGGTATATGTATGCATATTCCAATGAATGCATAAGAATAAGTATGCATACGTAGGGGAGCTATTGGAACACTAATATAAAACACAGTAAGTGTCCGGGCCCCAAGACTGTTCAACAGCCTCCTATCAGGCATAAGGGGAATTACCAATGGGCCCCTGGCTGCCTTCAAGAGGGAGCTGGACAAGTACTTGGTCAGTGCCGGATCAATCGGGCTGTGGTTCGTATGTTGGACTACGTATGGCCAGCAGTATCATCCTGGTTGCTCAGGCCCTGATCCACCGGGAGGCCTGATCGTGGACCGGACCACGGGGTCGTGGACCGGACCACGGGGGCGTTCATCCCCGGAACACCCTCCAGGTAGCAGGTAGACGTACATATATACATTAATTTTACATACGAATACATTTATATATACATAATAATAATAATAATAATTATTATTATTATTATTATTTCTACAAGTACAATATACAACTGATACAGATTTAGTTGACATTAATGATATACAATATAGAAAGATCCTGGTTATGCAGAGCATTTAAGGCAACTTAGGTTAATTTTCTCTCCCAGAATGCTACCCATACCAGTCGGCTAGTATCCAGGTACCTACTTACTGCTAGGTGAACAGGGTCAGCAGGTGTAAGGAAACATGCACAACGTTTCACTCGTGCAGGGATCGATCCCCGGACCCTGAGTGTGTGAACATAGGACGCTATCATCCAAGGCACGAACACCCTTACAATACATCCATACTCACATACACATATGCATACACATACATTCATATGCAAAAGTGTACATATGTATTAATGTAAATATACTTAACATATGCAAACACATACATATACAACGACTTTTAATGCATACAAATATGAATACATTGTCACATATACATTTCCATATATATTGTGCATGTATACATACGCAACCATATAAGCATACATCAATGCACAGGTATGCACTTGCATGCATCTGCATACGCATACACATACACATGGAAATATGCACCAGTACATATATGCACATGTACACTAACGTACAACTAAGTGTACATATGCATATACACAGTTATGCATATTCATATGCATAAGTATACACTTGTACATATATACAAAAAAGTTCACACATTTATATGCATCACATATACATAATACGCAAACCCAATTAAAACACATAAATATATATATAAATGTGAATGTACATGTATACGCACACACACACACTTGTACACTTTGGAGGTAGAGTAGGCTGGGGTAATGAGATACGTGGATTTATATTTTCGATCACTCATTAACCAAAATACATCTAGCTTAAACATACGCATATAATTTTCAAACTTACATTATCTGAACATAAGACATAAGTAGAAATATTTCATGCTTTTCATTATGAAGACAGATAAGAGATAAGATGATTGTCTTATCAGTGAGTGAGTGTTGTTGTACGTAGAGACACTTACACCATCAAGACTCCACTACAGTGAACCAACTCTTCTTCAAGGTAAGAGACGTAAAAGAAAGTTATTCTACTTAACCATTTATCATAAAATACGACGTAAGTGACTGAACTCTTCTCTGCTTCGATATAATAATTACTGTAATTATCATAATTGATGTAAGAATACTAATACAATTCTATATAAAAATTAGAATTTTATTACGAAATTAACAAGCACTCGCAAACAAAGCCGTAAATGAGGTGAAGATAAATATTTTACATTATGGGGGAAAAACAGATATAGCGATAAAAACTATCGTCAATATTGCTGTTGCTATTCACATATCATCACTAGGCAGAACAGAGGCACTGATATAATTAGAACACAACAGCACCTCGTCCCCGGAAAAAATCAGAGATTCATGGGTACAAAAAAGAACCTGGAGAAGCATTAGACATGCAGCAATACAATGACTGGACAATGAGGAACAATCAAGTTTGCTCGAGGGAATTCTTTGTATCAAGATCCCATTATGTTGCAGTGTCTGACAGATGTGACAAATGGTTTAAAAGACCGACAAGATGAAGATTGAGACACTTATGCAACATATAGGAATCTTTACTGAGGAAACGTTTCGCCACACAGTGGCTTCATCTTGATACAAAGAATTCTTCAACCTTGTCCAACCTTTAGACGAAGACTTCGACTAGTGGATGGTACCACTATGACCCCGCCTCCTCCTGCTTCGCCTCACCTGACTACAGTATATAAGCCACATCTATGGCCCTATGCTGTACTTTCTACAAGATTGATAGACTGAACACATCGACTCCAGGCTGAGGGACTGATTACCTCAAACTCCTCCTCTCCTTACACCTTTCTGATTTGTATTAGACTGATGAAGCCACTGTGTGGCGAAACATTTCCTGAATAAAGATTCCTATATGTTGCACAAGTGTCTCGATCTTCATCTTGTCGTTTTTTTAAACCATTTATCACATTAGATCTGTTTGTGACTTGATAAAATCCATTGTGTGGGCGAAACGTTGTCAATATAGGGCCGAATTATACTGCATTTATGTCATTGTCCATCTTGTCGGTATTGTTATATCATTACCCTCTAAGGAAGTCCAAAATATTTAAGAACTGATATCTGTTATAAATAATAAAATGTATTTTATAAAGAGATAAACAAGTAAATAATGAGCTGCGTCTGTTGTGTACAGAACACAGAATAATGTGTAACCTCGTCCTTTGATAAGTGACTTCAGGCCCTGTGTGTAACCTTAGACTCTGGTGACTGACCTTAGGCTCTGGTAAGTGACCTCAGCTTTCGATGAATGGCTTAAGATTGGTGAATGACTTCAGGTTACATAAGAAATGGTAAATACTACAGCAGGGTTAGTGATCCATACTTGGCAGGTCCTTCCCAAACTCAAAACTTCTAACAAAAAAAAAAAATATTTGCCCAACCCATTTTCAATGCTACTGAAGAAATTAGCTTTATAACTCTATTAATTTGTTGAGTGACCTCAGGATTGGGAATTACCCATCTCTAATTACTTGTAGCTGCAGGAGAAGATTATTCTTGTGGTGTCCCGTCCTTGGTAATTATTTCATATATATTTTTACTTCACAATGGCTGCATCATCTACTACCTCCTAGCTCATCCCACCGTCCCACTACTCTATGAAAAAAATTCTAGCCTAACTTCGGCTCAACTTTTTCTTTAATTTGTAACTCTGGCCACTTTTTATCCCAGTTGAAGGTACTGAGAAATATTATTTATTTCATATTCTTCTATAAATCTATATATGGTTGCCATAGCTCCTCCTTTCCTCCTAATACCTTGCATTGTAAGGGGCTTTCTATAATGTGGTTTATATGTCGGTAGCCCTAATTGTATAATGTACTGTAAGCAAATAAAAAACTTGTTTGGTTTGTTTTGAGAAAGCCAATGTTTTCAGACTTTATAACTCATATGTTTTAGTTCTGGGAGACATTTTGAAGCTCTATTAACATATTTTAAGAATTGATTTTATGGAGGTAAAATGTGTGTATGCAGATTATTATATTAAGTATGTATGGTTATTATATTAAGATTGTTATTATATTCAGTAGCACTGAACAGTGCAACCTCTGGTCACGACCATAATTCGTTCCAAAACTCTGGTCGCGACCCAGTTTGGTCGTGACGCGAACCTAATTTCCCATTGGATTGTATATACATACGATTAATCCGTTCCAGACCCCTACGAACTGTATGTTAATATTTATTGTTTTTTTTCAAGATTTTTAAGCACAAAAATAGTTATACCATAGAATACACAGTGTAATAGTAAACTAAATGTAAAAACCTCGAATAAGACTGAGAAAACCTTCAACAACGAAGAAAACTAACATTGCACAAGTCCAAAGAGTTTCAAGGGGCGTCTAATGGCTGAGCAATGAAATCAGCTATTTATCGTCCCATTTCTTTCATTTTTGGTGTACGTTAATAAGCTTCGGTCCATCATACATTACCCACGTTTCAGTAAGATAGCCCAACAAACAACTGAAAAGAAAATATTTACCAAAAATCATATATAGCAAGCCATAGCCATGTACTGGCATTGTGAGTAGCTGTTAATCTGAATTTATCACGGTCGTAATTACAGAAAGTGGGGGAAACTGGCGCGTGCGAAGAAATGGTGTGGAATGTGAAAATTGGCGCAGATGTGTTCGTTCATCACCCGATTATGTGTTCGTGACCAGATGCAAAAATTCGTTGAATTTTTTGGTAGTGAACCGATTCGTTTGTGTTCGGAAGCGTTCGTGACCAAAGGTTCCACTGAATGTGGAACTACCCTGCATGTGCTTCGTATATTTATTGTTTCTTCTGTCACTGATTTAGGTACATTGTTTTCACGGTCATAATGCCAGAGCAAGAGGACGCAGAGGCACGTCGGAACCTCTTGGGTTCAACTGAATCCTGGTGACAGTGAGTATTTGGCAAATGTTTACTTCAAAGAGCTGTAGAATTTGCAATACTCCTTATACATTTACTGAATTACTTCCTACAAAATTAATATATTTGTCACAGCAGACATTTAGATAATGTGAGATGGCTGACTCAGGTACTGCAACATTAAGCCATTCTTAATTGTAATGAATATTTTCGTTAGCCGGCTTGAAGCTAGGGAAATATACACTGATGAATTAGACACTTGGTTGACGAAACCTCTCCATAGTAAAGATAGTGGCTCATATAACCAGTCGGTTCCATGAGCCAGTTATCTATAAAAATACATTACTCAAAAGTATTTTAAGGCAAAATGCACTTGGCATTTATTTTCTCCTAACTGGGGAAGTATAAAAATCTTCCAAGGAAGAAAATTAAGTTGCTAGAGGACATAAGAACAAATCTCCTGTAGCAGATCTTAATCATATGATGATTACTCATTACAGAGCTTTCGGCAATAAGATCGTATGAAGAATTGTTGGCCGAGGAAAAAAATGAATTTTCATAGTTCTGTTTTAATATGTATGCCTTGTCTTGTTTAACAATAGCATAAGATCTTGTTTTATAACATACAAGTGAAAATACCTAAACATAGCTTTGACTTACCTAATAGTTTCTCTACAGCTTGACAATTTCACTACAATTACTAATTCTGTTCATAGTTGTGTTGTCTATGGAAGAGCCAGAGACTGCGCTTCAAGTCCATGATACTGGAGGAACGGAAAAGTATGTTGTGATATTCTCTCATCTCAGTAAACATTACTTCATGTTTGGTTATATCATCCTCTCCTTACCTTTGACAAATACCTAATATTTTAATAACAATCTTGACATAGTGGAATCTGTGTATTGTTAACCCTCTCATGATGCTTCAGGTGCGGCTCGCAGCAGACTAAAGTGGTCAAGAAATCGGTGAGATTGTTCTATCTTTCTTATGTACTGTGATGACATGCTACAGGATTTTTTTTTTTACTTGAGGTCAAGTTCATTAGTTAAACCTTTTACACAAGGTTACTTGATTTAACACTTAGTGCAGAAACTACAGTAAGTAATATAACTACACTGTAAGTACATTAACTACGTTAGTATGCTAATAGTTGAGGGACTACACTGTGCATACAGTAACTACATTATTACAGTTATTATTTTGTGAATACAGGAAATACACTGCAAGGATGAAATTTAGTTTCTTCAAATAATGCCTTAACTCTTTTATTTTCCACTTTATAGCTCTTTAAACTAGCCTTCGTTTTTTTAAGTAGGAATAAATACTTTTCTACCCTGTATTATTTGCGCTCCTATGCTATACTGTGTTCCTTGTCAAAAGAGTATTATAAATAACAAAATATTTCTATTCCAACACAGTTTACTTTCTGTAAATAAGTTTTTATACTCTTCATCTAAACTTTATATTATTAGTAACGTGAAATATAAAAATAATGCATGACATATCTTATGAGCAGACGGAGGCTCATCATGCAGCAGAGGTTGGTGATGTGGACTCGCTACAGAAGTTGGTGAAAGAACACCCGGAGAATCTTTCCATCCAGGATAATTATGGCAACACACCACTCCACCTGGCTGCTAAAGGCGGCTACCTTGAATGTTGTGAAATTATTCTGGAGATCAGTACCAAGGAAGTCAACCTCAAAAACAAAGCTGGAAATTCCCCACTTCTACTTTCAATAGAAACGGGAAAAAAATCAACAAAGATTACGGAATTACTCATTCACAATGGCTCAAAGTTAAATATGACATACAAAGGTAAATGGACAGCCCTGCACATAGCATCTGAAAAAGGTAATGTTGAAACACTGAAGCTGCTGCTTAAACATGATAAAAAATGTCTTCGAGCTAAGGATTCAGAAGGGCTGACATCTCTGCATGTAGCGGCCAAAAATGGTCACAAGAGGACTTGTAATGAGCTTGTGGAGGCAGGTGCCAATATAGAAGAGAGGGATAGTCACGGCTCGACACCACTTCACTGGGCTGCAAAAATGGGATTTACTGAATGTTGTAGGAAGCTGCTGGAGCACAACGCTTCTATTAACAGTGAAAACA